CTGAGCCACCCAGGTGCCCTGCCACAAAGCTCTGTTATTCTTACCAAGGTTCAGCCATTTTTCTTGAATAAACATTCCACAAATTGCTGCAAACCTTTGGTTAATTTCTAGAATTCTGGAAAAGTTATTTCTGATGATTTTTGCCACTGTTCTTTTTTTGCTTTTATGGAGGAGAGACTTGTTGAATGTCTTTATTCTACCATCTTGCTGATTTTTCAATGTATATTGAGTCTTTGACTTCTTTCTTATGAATGAACCCCAAAGCAAGGGGGGAAAAACCCACTCACATTCACCAACATGTTTTATCAGTGTTACTTATAATAGTGAAAAATTTGAAATGTTCTAAATCAGTGACATTGGTGGGGGAAAGCGTGTAAATTCTGGGTAACACTATTATGCAGCCGTTAGGAAAGGAAGAGGAGGCCTGGATGGTGGAATTATAACATGGAAGCTGTGAGTCTTGATTCTAGGGTCACATGGGCTGGATTGGAGTTTGCTCCAATGACTTGGAGCAAATTAATTTGCCCCTCTAAGCCTCAATTTCTCATCTATAAAATGGTGACAGTTCCGGGGTGCCTGGGTGGCTCAGTAGGTTAAGCATCCGACTTCAGCTCAGGTCATGATCTCGCGGTCTGTGAGTTCGAGCCCCGTGTCGGGCTCTGTGCTGACAGCTCGGAGCCTGGAGCCTGCTTCGGATTCTGTGTCTCCCTCTCTCTGCTCCTCCCCCACTCGCACTCTCTCTCTCTCTCACACACACAAAAATAAATAAACATCAAAAATTTTTTTTTAAATGGTGACAGTTCCATAGTGGTGCTGTGAGCTGTCAGTGAAGGTGTCCAGGCAATCTGTGTGGCTCAGCCAAGTGAGTTGTTATCGCTGTTGTTGCTATCATCCAACAGAAAATTTGTTATGCTATGGGGCGCCTGGGTGGCGCAGTCGGTTAAGCGTCCGACTTCAGCCAGGTCGTGATCTCGCGGTCCGTGAGTTCGAGCCCCGCGTCAGGCTCTGGGCTGATGGCTTAGAGCCTGGAGCCTGTTTCCGATTCTGTGTCTCCCTCTCTCTCTGCCCCTCCCCCGTTCATGCTCTCTCTCTGTCCCAAAAATAAATAAATGTTGAAAAAAAAAAAGAAAATTTGTTATGCTATAATGGCAAATAACAGCTAGAAGGATGTGAAATTTTATGTATGCTGTAACCAAAATATAAGGAAAAAAAAAATCCCTGGCAACACATGGAAAAACCAAGGTTGGAAGAAAGCACACCACAATGGCAGGATTATGGGTTGTATATGTTCTCTTTTCCATTTTTTAAAAATCACTGGGTAAGATAAATGTCTACTCACAGTAAGAATCTCTTCTTAAAGAAGGAGAGGCTCTTCAGGAGGGCCCAGGCAGGAACACCTCCCCATTAGACACTGGGATAGTGGAAGTGTGTTTCCAGATGCATCTTCAGGGACTTTTTGGTAACCAGTATTTCCCGAGTCTCTGCAGGAAACTAGGATGTATTTCCTGGTCTTCTTCAAGAGGGTCTTTTATTCAGCGTCCTGGGGGCCAGGGTTCACTGCTGCCTCCTCAGGGTGGGTTCTGAACATGGTGGTTAAAACCCAAGAGCACCCTTTTAAATTCTATTGTCCAATCCAAAGGTTTTCTTGTGAGGCCTCTGTTTCCTCATCTGCCGAGTGGGAAAATGATGGTACTCTTCCTTGATGCTTCCCAAAGGATGGAAGGAGAGGCTATCCGAAGTGCTTGGTGCTCTGCCAGGTACTCCACAGATGTGCTGTGTCCGTGCTGGTGATCTCTATAACTTGGCGGGGCTTGTTTTTCCATTTCAGGTTCCGAGGTGCACCGATTATATCCGTGGCGGCCAAGCCTGGGGGACCAGAGGCCCCCGAAACAGAAGCTCCACAGGGCATCTCAGAGCTCATTGAGGTACTTGAATCCAGGCTGGCCTCTGGCCCCAGTCCCACTCAGGCAGGTCCCTTTGTGTCCTGCTTGGTCTGACGGGGAGAGAGAGAGGAGGCACCCCAGCAAGACGACTCTGAGCTGGTTCCTTTAACTACCACCACCCCTCTCCCAGGTACATGAGCACCTTAGTATACCCTCCCTCACCTCCCTGCAAGAGTTAAACCAAAAGAGAAGCAGAGCCGCGCACCCCCCCCCCCCCCCCCCGTCTCATTCAAAGTCCTGCCCAGCTGTCCACACTCTTGTAAGTCTTTCTTTTTCCTTTCTCTTGCTGAACACCCCCACCCGGACACAGCAGCTCCTGCCTCCTGGAGCTCTGGGCCATGTCATCCATTCCAGGCCTGCAGACTGTGCCGGTCCCCCAGTGTGTCCCACTGGCTGATGGAGATGGGCAGTGCAGCTCAGGTCCTCATGGTCTCCACCAAATAATGGAGCCTCTGAGGCACAGGCTCTGTGTCCAGGCTCAGTGGTAGATAAAGGGAGGGAACCCAGCCACCGTGGGGTGTCCAGGGTAGCCAGAGGGCAGGTTGGGGATGGTGGGGTGGTGGTGATGCTGCTGGAAGGATGGTGGTGAGAAGGGGGACCTCAGTGTCCCTCACTAAGAGGGGCGGAGTGTTGAGGTACCTCGACTCTGGGGCTGCGTGCTGGGCCTACCACCTGCTGTCTCTTGCCTCTATTCCCTCAGTTTTAAGTAGGGAAAATCCCAGCACCACTTCCCTTTGGACTTGGTGTGAAGGTTAAGTGATCATTAACCTTTTCACAATGATCATTAGCTTTCACAGTGGCCCCGGGAGGCTTAAGTTATCTGCATCTTACCAAGGAAAGTGTCAGACTCAGGGGAGTCAAGTAACTTGCCCAAGGTCTCACAGCAAGTATGTGGTGGAGCTGGCATTTAGTCCCAGGTCGGTTGTTGGGTGTCTTTGGGGTCCACCTGTATCTGGACCCACAGAGCCAAGATCAAATGTGACTGAGTACACTGCCACCATTTCTATGATAACAAGGTGCTGATCTGGCTGACTCTGCAAAGCAAACCTTTTCTGGGTGACGCTTTTGTTTATTTTTTCGTCAGCTTCAGGGAGCACTGGTCTGGGAGCCTGGGACAGTCATTTTTATTAAAGCAGAATTCGCCCATGTTGCTATGAAAGATGTTTGTCTATTCCTTTAAGAAGCCTCTGCATAAATATCAGGCAAAGCCTGTTTTGAATCTTTAGTCTTTTTCCAGAATTGTTATCACAAGGCTGAGAGTTTAGAACCTTCACTACCGAATACTTTTTGACAGCCTCTTCCCTGATGAAAGGAGAAAGCAGCAAAATAAAAGGAATAATGCAGCCTTTATTTCCATTTGTTTATAAGGAATTAGCTCTGACATTTCTGAGCACATAGATAGCATGAGGAAAAGGGGCTGGCTGAGGTCAAAGCTGGTGGAAAGTGTCAGCGGAGAAGAAAACTCAGAACCACAAATTGAGGGGGCAACACCGGGCCTTGGCAGACATGAGGTGGTCCCTCTGTCTCTGCCGGGGCTTAGAGAAACAGCATTCACCCCCTCCTTCCCTGCCACACGTGGTGGCAGCCCTGCTATCCTGCATCCTTTGGACACGTGTCCCTCTCTTGGGCACCGTGCCAGCTGCTACAGATACTTGGAAGGACTCAGGGCTCTAGGAGGGAGACAAATAAACAAATGATCACAGTGGTATGTTAACTGGTTGATGATGGGCTGGGGAAGGGAGCCATACGGAAAGGGTAGGAAAGCCTTCCCAGAGGTGATGTGTCCCTGGAGAAGGGAGGTGAAGCTAGCTGGTACACTTCCAGGGCCTGCCAGCGGCTGGTGCCTGCTGTGAGAGGGCAAGTGGTGGGGGACGAGGCTTCCATGGTACCTAGGAGCTAGATGATGACACATCTTAAATTCTGCAGGCTCGGGGGGCGCCTGGGTGGCGCAGTCGGTTAAGCGTCCGACTTCAGCCAGGTCACGATCTCGCGGTCCGTGAGTTCGAGCCCCGCGTCGGGCTCTGGGCTGATGGCTCAGAGCCTGGAGCCTGTTTCCGATTCTGTGTCTCCCTCTCTCTCTGCCCCTCCCCCGTTCATGCTCTGTCTCTCTCTGTCCCAAAAATAAATAAACGTTGAAAAAAAAAATTAAAAAAAAAAAAAAAAAAATTCTGCAGGCTCGGAAGGCTAGGAAAGCATGAGGCTTGGACTGACGCGTCCAGGGCTGTCCTGCAGCAGGTCCCTGTGCTGCAGTGCAGGCGAGGGCCTGGGGGTCGGCCTGTTAGGAGGCTGTTCATTATCCCAATGAGAGGAGAGAGAAGTTCCTTTGAACCGAGAGGAGCTGAGAGCACAGCAGGAGTTTGGAGTGTAATCAGGAAGTGGTCCATTTCTGATCTGGGCCAGCTTGCCCCGTTCCTGGCTACTCCCTCTGCCCTCCTCTGCCCTGCCCCACTCAGCTCCTCTCCCCAGCAGGGTGTGGCAGCAGCATCTCTTTTCTAGCTCCTGACGTCCCAGATTCCCATCCCGACGAGGGACCCCTCGGGACCATTCCTCATGTCTGTGGACCACTGTTTCTCCATCAGAGGCCAAGGCACTGTGATGACAGGGACCATCCTCTCAGGCTCCATCAGCCTCGGCGACAGTGTGGAGATTCCTGCCCTCAAGGTCAGTCTTACCTTGGCCTTCCTTTTGGCCTGTCTCTCTAGCAGCAAGGGAGAGCGACAGTCCCTTTGCCTCTCCGGTGGCTGAGCCCTTGGGCCAGATCCCTGGGGCTGGCCTTCTGGCTCTTCTCTGCTCTGTCTTCTGTACTGCCCTGCCTGGATTCTGGAGCCACCACTCTCCCTAATCCTCAGAACAATACCCATTTACTGGAGGCCTGTGACGTGTCGTGATGAGCCTCCTGAGTGGGTGTTCTGTGTAGATAAAGAAACGGAAGCTCTAGAAGGTGTGGTGGGCCCAGGATCACCTGTCAACAAGTGAGGGTGCTGGGTGTACACCCTCCTTTTCTACCAGCTCCGTACGTCAGGGTGGCGAGTACATGTGCACTTATTTCTGGGTACTTTTTGCTTAGCTACAAGGATTTCAAGTTAAACACAATTAGAATCTTGTGTCACTCAGAGTCATAAAATCTGGAAGATATCCAGATGAGTTTTATATTCCCAGTGACCACTAGTAGGTGCCATGTTATCCCTCCGAAGACCTGTGAGAGGGATGGATAGCTGGGTATCTCCCTATCGCCCCCCACCTCCTGGTAACTACCAGCCTGGTCTGATGTAAAAGGTGTTCAATGGCCTTGATAGTTCCCATCTTCAGTGGGCTTTACTTATGGTTTTAGTTTGCTGGAGAAGAACAACTTAGAGCCTCCTCAACCACCCTTCTCTTCAGGGGGTATAAAGGGTGGGGAACAAGGCCTGGTTAGAACTAGGAAAAGCCTATGAGGAAACCTGGGGTCCAGGGTGGTTGTCTAGTTCTCAGAAGAGCCTGGAGTGCAGGGACACGGAGGCATGCACTTGGCCCCATGTACTAAGCCAGGGACAATACCAGCTTCTGGATGTGCACAGCCCTAGGTCAGTGAGTTCACCTTGCTTGCTAACTGGGAGTGCTTCCTGGAGGGCTGTGTTGAGACAGATTCTGTGGTTGTCTGGATCACTAGATGTGTTAGTCAGGGTCCTCCAGAAAAACAGAACCAAAAAGATGTGGTTATATACATATACAGAGAGAAAGGGGTGTGTTTTAAGGAGTTGGCTCACATGATTATGAGGCCCAGCAGGTCCAAAATCTGCAGGATAAGCCAGCAAAGATGGAGACCCAGGGAAGAGTTGCAGTTCAAGTCTGAAGGCTGTTCACTGGCAGCATTTTTTCTTCTTCTAAGAAGGTCAGTCTTTCTGTTCAGGCCTTTAACTGATTGGACAGAGTCTACCCACATTATGGAGAGTAATCTGCTTTACTCAAAGTCTTTTTTTTTTTTTTAATTAATTATTTAACTCAAAGTCTTAGTGTTAGTCTCATCCCCCCAAAATCCTCACATTGGGGTACCTGGGTGGCTCAGTCAGTTAAGCGTCCAACTTCAGCTCAGGTCATGATCTCATGGTTTGTGGGTTCAAGCCCCGTGTTGGGCTCTGTGTTGACAGCTTGGAGCCTGGAGCCTGCGTTAGACTCTGTGTCTTCCTCTCTCTTCCCCTCCCCTGCTCATGCTCTTTCTCTCTCAAAACTAAATAAACATTAAAAAATTAAAGAAAAAAAAACCTCACAGAAATATCCAGAATAGTGCTTGACCAAATATCTCAGTACAGTGGCTCAGCCTAGTTGACATGTAAAATATACCATCACCCTTTTGGGGGGGAGAACCATGATTATAGTGTCTGCCCTGAGGAAGGGGAGGGCAAGGGGCACCTATCTGTTGTGTTGGCCTTTTCTGGTCTAGGACAGCCTGGGAGGATGTAGGAGAGGGGTATTTCAGGAATGACAGGAATGACCAGGGCTTCCCCAGGTAAAGGAAATCTCAGGTTTAAATTACCCCCTTCACTCATTTTATGGTGCTGTGGCTGTTGCTTTCCTCCTGCAGGGCTGAGGTTATTAGGGAAGAGCCTCCTGACCAGGGAGGACCAACCAAAAGAAAAGCTTCCTTTATAGGCCTGAGACTGGCCAGGTTCCAGGGCTCCCTGGGGCAGCAGCAGGAGTTGAAGGACAAGGCCCTGCCCTTCCGAGGCCTAGGGCCTCCCCTGACATAGGACCCGAGTCCTAAGGTCATAATCCCCTCCTCCACTGGCTGTTGTAGCTCCTCCCCTGAACACCATTAGTCCTGGATAAATACCACTTAAATCAAATCCATGTTGCGCCAGGGACTAAAAGTGTAAATCTTAGAAAAATAAAGCACAAAATTATGAAAATAAACCAAACTTATATTTAACACAGTTTAGATTATTATGGTGCTGTGTGTTAATTCTTAGCTGGAATAGAGAATGAGTCAAATGCTAAATTTCTTTGCCTTCTGGGTCTTCCCTGAGGCAGACCCCAAGGGGCCACCCTGATCCAGTATCCCTTCTTCCTTGGGAGAAGACCTGTTTGCAGCCTGGGAGAGCAGCTGGGAGCAGGAAGGAGGTGTCAGAAGAACTCGCTGTGGGACATAGACTTTGAAGTGCAGTACCTGAGGGAGGAACAGGTGCTTGATGACAGGGTCAGTGGCTGCCATGTTTGACCGAAAGCGTGGACCCGGGGAGGGCCAAGGCAGAAATAGTCAGCCACGTTAGGCAGAGATGTTTGAGTGGGGACATGTTCTGAGGTCTTTGGCTACTTTTTCATCCCGATGAAAATGGAGCTTGCCTATCAAGGTCCCAGTTACTGATCTGTAGTACTTGGACACAAGGAAAGTGCTTGGCAAATATAAATTTAATTCGCTTGCTTTTCTTCACCCATTTCCCCCAGCCTACTTTTCAACCCTCTATTGTCGTGTTCTTGTCTAAGTTGCTAGTCAGGAAAGCATAATTTGTAAGTAGTGAACTCAGATATTTGGCTGAGGAATTTTCCAACCAAAGCATGGAACATGCAGCCTGGTTTCTCCTTTGCTGTGTCTAGTAAAATGTGAGAGGAAAGGAGTGAATTGGAGATGGAACTGTTAGCAAAAAGAAGCCTGCGCTTGATGATTTGGGAGATTCTCTGCCTCTTCAGATTCCAAAGGATGCTAAAAGTAGGAAATTGGCTTTGAGAAAGCATGCTCTGGAGAAAGGCCAGCGGTGAGGCTAGACAGCCTTTGCTGTGGAGATTGGGTATGTGACTCGTGGATCCAATCAAACATCTTAGCAGAAGCCAGGACTAGAGACAGGCTTCTCCAGGAAGAATCTATAGAGAACCTTCTTGTTTAATGGTGGAGATCCCCTTGATATACATGGGAGACACGCGAGGTTTTTGAGAATGTTATATCTCAAAAACACTGGCAGTGTGGACTGAAAGGGACAGACCTGGTGAAATGTTTAAAAAAAAAAAATAGAGCATTTGGACTTCTAGTATTCTAATTGTAGGAAATGGACTGATAGAATTACTCTACTAACTCATGTTATCCTTTAAGAAAAGGGAAGAATGACTCCAGGGGCAGACCTGTGGACACAAAGGCAGAGGCCAGAGAAGCAAGCCTAAAGGCAGGGGCCTGTGGAGCCTCTGTGGGCCCGGAGGGTGGAGGACCAAGCCACAGAGGGTTACTTTCAGGCCAGGAAAGCTAAAGGAATTTGCTCTATTGGGTTTCAAATTTACTTGGGTCCAGTGACCTCTATGTTCCTTTCATTTTTTCCCTGTGCCTATATTTTAAAAGCAGAAAACTTGTCTTTTAGTTTCACACATCTGTAGATGGAGAGGCATTTGGCCCCAGGATGGATCATATCAGTATAACCCATGCCTGATTAGAGGGGTTAAATGATATTTTTGAGCGGGTGATACTTACAAGAGATTTTGGACTTAGAGTATGGTCTAGTGAGGTGAGAATTTGGGGATGTTGGGATGGGGTGAATGTATTTTACACATGTGAATGAAGTTTTGGGGACTGGAGGGTGGGGCGGACTGTAGTGGTTTGTAGAACTGTGGACCACAAAAGCCATATCCACCTAGAAGCTCAGAAATGACCTTACTTGGAACAAAGTCTTTGCAGATGTAATTAAGGTAAGGTTCTCAAGATGAGGTCATCCCTGTTAGGGTGGGCTCTTTATCCAACGGTGTGTGTCCAGTGACACAGATTGACAGAGGGAAGGGCTAATGAGGCTAGAGGCCAAGATTGGAGTTATGTGGCCCCAAGCCAAGGAACGCCAGTGGTTGCCTGAAGCCACCAGACACTAAGAGAAAGGTAGGGAAGGACTTCTCTCTGAGAGACTCCAGAGGGGACCAAACCCACTGACACGCTGATTTTGGACTTCTGGCCAACAGAACTGCGAGAGAATAAATTTCTGTTGTTTAACACTACCAAGTTTGGTAGTTGGTTAGGACAGCCCTAGGAAATGAATACAGATTTTAGATGGAAAGGACTGAAGTCAGAACAAGTCTGAAGTCCTTTGCAGTTATGGGCAGGCCTCTTAACTCCACTGAGCTTGGACTTTGTCATGAGGAATGGCAGGGGTTGCCATGAGAGCTGAGTGTGTGTTGGCAGTAGAAGGCTTTACAGGTTAACATAGAGTCAGTACCGCTGCATACTGATGGCTAGCTCTGTTCCTTCCTTCCTTTCCTGTAGTTCCCACCCAACAGATGAGAAAACCTAGGCCCAGGGCTTTGTTCGCAACCAGACAGCAGAGCCGGCATTTGAAGCCATTTGTCTGGCTCCAAAGACCAGGCTCTGTCCACTATACCCACTGCCCCTGGAGACCCCAAGGAGATGGTAGGTACCAGTGGCGTTTCCTCCTTGGGGAAGGGCAGGACCCTCCAACCTCCAGAGCAGCTTTGTAGGTGAGCCGGGTACCCCACTGAGGCCTCTCCTGGGCCACGGAGCCTATAAAAACACATTTCAGAAGCTCCTGAGGTCTAGAGCTCCTGACCTCCTCTCACCCCCCACTTTCCACTAACCATAATTAGTGGCCAGTGCCTATTGGGCACTGGGGACATTGCAGGGTGGGGGCTTTAAATTAGATGGCCCTCCTCCCAAACCTGGTGACATCCTTGTCAGATTTCACTAATCAACTTGGACACAT